CGAGTTCAGCAACGCAATGCCCATCAGACGATGATGGTGGTGGAAAGCGAAAACATCGACCACGTTGACGACACCCGCCTGCGCCACAAGACCGGAATTGAAATTGCTCGCGCACCACAATTATCGGCAAGGATGACTGATGACCCATTCGGATCAGATGGGACTGGCTTCCCAATTTGGACTGAGGACCCATTTGGGACTGAGGATCCATTTGGGACTGAGGACCCATTTGGGACTGATGGCTGGTCGGATTCCGGCAATGGCGGACAGCAAGAAGGCAGCACGGATGCCGATAATACGACACCAGCACTGCCGAGTCTCAAGAGCATCCTGTTCCCCAACAGAACGCACCCGTTGACGGACAATTACTTCACTCGCCTCTACGGAGTCGTTTCTCGGCTTTTCCTCATCATCGGATAATTTTACGAACCGCGCGGCGTACAGTTATCAAATCACGACAATACTCGTTTTTTTGTGTTTTTGTTTTGCACGCTTATATATGTGCTGTACTTATACAGGTACATGCAGTGTCCTATATGAGCGATTATATAGCAATGGTGACTTTCAATTCGTACCGAATCCTTTTTCTTAAATGAATTCACGTCATAACTATCATCACAGAATAATCGCAATCAATTCTCACAGCAAGCAAATATATTTTCGCCCAATCCGCGGACCAATTTGTACAAAAAATCGTACTCAAGATCGGAAAAAAACCATGTATAAAAATATCCAATCAATTCTCATAAAAGTATCCACACAAATTCTGTATAAAGTCTGGTTCAAACCAGCTGAAACCGTTTCTGTCCAGGTACTCCGTTTGAATAGCCCTTTGGCGTCGATTCCGACGAAGGGATTTCGTCTTCCCTCGAATCACATCATTCCTCAACAGCAACCTTAGCCCAGGCACAAAGTCTTGAATGAATGCAGCGCGATTCAGTTTCCAGCAAGTTGGGGCCATCATGGTCAGGAGCGACTCGTGATCAGACTGAATCTTCATATAATTTCTGGGAGTCAAAAAGAAAAACGAAAAAAAAAAAGAAGCTGAAACTCCTCTTCTCAACACTCATGCAACAAAGCGCAGCAGTTGAACCTTGATAACTCAAACCTCCTCTGAGTCAAAAACCCTCGTTTTGTTTAGTCCCACAATTTATTCTATCAAAAATATTCTAGAGCAGTTTTCCCCAACCTTTTTGGGCCTATACTAACCAGCAAATTTCCATGAAAATTTGCGCAACCCAGCAAATTACCAAAACAAATTCTGTAGACCAAAGTTTTAAAAAATGTCAGCAGACTCAAAAAGTTGTTTTTGAAAGACTATTAAAAGTACTACAGTAAAAATGTTTCTCCTTGTTTTGCAAAAATTATAGTAAGAACCAATGCAACACCTATAGTGGATTGTCTTCAAAAAATTAGAAAGGCGGGCTTGAAGAAAAGTTTCTCAGAATGAAAAATTAAAACACTTTATTTCAGCATGGAGCACTATTAAGAGAAAAGCAAAATTTTATTTTTCATCAAATAATTTGAACAGCCCTTTCGTTCTAAATTTTCAGATGAAGACAGCAGACTTTTGAAAAAATATTATGCTGAAGAGAATTTCCCACGGACCAGCAAAAATTCTGGAGGACCAGCACTTGTCTGAGGACCACAGGGTCAGGGAACACTGTTTTACAGTATTACAGACCTTAACTAAAAACTGTTCCCCCAGAGAACCTAAAAAAATCAAATTTTTCTGGAGACCTTTTGGCTATCACTTTGGGGACCCAGGAAAGAGGAAATCAATACAAATACAGTATAACTTGATGCTTTTCAAAAATAACTGAGTACTAATGGGCAAATTAACGCTTGCTTGCTCCTATCAACTCATTTAGCCCAGGGTCCATCATCAGATCTCCAAATTTAACTTCCTGTATTTTCCGCCAAAAAATTAAGTTTTCCTCAACTCAAAAATTAATGACCCACGGCAAATTTTTATGCTGGTCCATTGGACTTTGACTTAAATGGGGTTCTACTGATGCATGTGACAAAAATACTGTACCTAGTTTCTTCACTATTGAATTCCCAAACACGCAGAGTTCCACTCTCAAAGCAGCCAGCCATTTTCTTTAGGACTTCATCGGGGTTTTCCAGGGTTTTCTGGACTCTTTCTTTCAATCGTTTCATATCTTCGGCATACAAAGACACACCCAGGGTTTCCATTGATGACGCTATATCAAAGGAAACCTCGGCGGTATTGCAATAATCGTTTGAAGGACTCCACGAATCTTTCAATGCTCCACTAACTGATCCATCCTTCCAACTTGACAGCTTTGTCTCTGTGAAGGAAAAATAAATATTTTTTTTTACATAGGTGGACTCTCCCTACAACAACATTCAAGGGACCAGAAAAAATGTTTTAGAGAGAATTTTATTGGTCTCAGGGAAGAAAATTTTGAGGGAAAATTTGCTGCAAAACTAGCAGCAGATTACTTGGCATAATTGAAAAGGAAAATAAGGCCAGTTTGAGGATTCAAAAAGGGCCGTCACTGAGTCAGATCAAAATCTCTAATCCACCAAAGCATCTGAAAGGAACTATGGCCATTGTTCAAGGGTCCAGGGTTTTAATCACTGAATGAGAAGACATTTTTAGGGGGATGGGAAATTTAATTGGAGATTTCTTTTAGGAATTAAGCATTTATGCACATGAAGTTAGGAAAGACCTGATTCCTGCATCTGGGAGGATATGACAAACCATCGGGCACAAAAAAGGGGAAAACTAATTCTGCAAAATGATGGGCTCCAACGGCATTGCCATTTTTTCAACACTCACATCTCATTTAACAATAAAAAACCAACAAAAAGTCAACTCACCACAAAATCCCTCTGAAGCACACACACTATCCTGTAAAGCGGCTGAATCGCATAATCTAGACATGACGCACATCGCATTCATGAGCAAACGTCTGGAATCCTGTTTCATCTCAAAACCATCACCAGCATCCTCATCTTCCACTTGAACCTCTTCTGGGTCCGCAATGTCAGTATCATCAAGTGGACATCGGACACCCGATTTTTCCTACAATTATGAAAAGTTATTCAATTTAAAACACAAACGGATATCATTCTGTGTTCGATTCTAACCTCGGTGTCTATCGCTTCCAACTCCGACAAAAAAATATTTCTTGCTTCTCGATCGCTACGCTTCGCTGCTGGTAATTCCGGCCAGATTTTGTGAAGATTTCGGAAAAGTATGCCAAAAATGCGCTGGCCATCGCTGAGCTGTAAAAACAACAAATACGCAACAGGTTTTTGTTTCATGTTTTTCTGCGTGACTCGTCAGTTGAGTGAATGTCCAAGACAACGACATGAAAAATAAAGCGCATGCATAAATAAGCCATTCACAGTACATACACGAAAAATCAGAGCGTAAGTGACGCATTCAGAAGAAACGACAGTCTTGATAATTTATTCAATTTCACATCTTTAAAAACATTTTTCAACCTACCAATTTAGATGCGATTGAGGATGAAAGAGAAAAAAATTAACAAATGGTTCACCACCCTGAGTCTGATGGTAATAAGAGTGAAAGGTCTTTTACTGTTTGATTATAAGCATCTCATCCTCTTTCATCGTTTAGAGGCATCTGATATGCCCAGAGAGTCAAATCAACGTTTTCTTGATCAAAGTGAAAGTACGAGGGTTGTTTTGTGAAAGTCATCGTATGCCGAGAAGGTTTTTCAGATAATGTATTACATTGAAATTTAATCCGCCTCAGTGCGGTTGTCCAATATAAGTGTTTCAAAAACGAATCATTTTTTTTCTTACGGAAGGATTGTACATAAATATACCAAAAATAGAGAATCAAAGAAACCCACCTTCTTGGTGAGCAGGTAACCATCATTTAAACTGCGCTCCAAAAATTCCCTCAGCACTCGGGGTTTGCTATCCGGACGGATTCCGAAGGCCTGAAGTTCACTCATGGCTTTTCTGGGGTCACCTCTACAATATTCAGCCAATTCTTCGCATACAGTTGCACCAACGTCTTGATCGCACGAATCCCCGATTTCCCCACGATAAACACCAGCTAGAAATGTCCCGAGATCAGCAGAGGAAATCGCCGGAACGTTGACGAGTAGCATGCCTGTGTAGATGAAACATTTCGAAGAAAGTTACTCGTCAAGTCCGGATTTTTAAAACTCGTGTGAATTGTTTTCTCCGAGGACCGCATTAAAAATTTCAACCGTTCATAAAATCATGAATCCTATTTTGAATGAATCAATTCTCTTTCTGTTCAAATTAATCGCACGAAATATGGAGTGCTCAAAAAGTCGCTGACAGAATTCAAAATTATGCTCAAATAATTTGGCGAAATTCGCAAAAATTTCGAATTTACTCTATACTTTGTGTGCATGCAAATTAGGTAAAATGAAATCTTTAATACTTTGCCAGGAGAAAAAAAATCGCTGTACAGGGAGCATTGCTGTAGACAAAATTGCTTTACGGCGAAGAGACATGTGCAAATTTCGAATTCAACAGAATTTCTTTACAAAAAACCTAAATTTAAGGAATTCTAGCTTGAAACAGATTCATTATTTTGTATTCCTTTTTTAGTTTCCTGCTGCACGACGACATTGTTTTTCATATCTCAATATAGATAAATTTGCGTCATAATATTTTTAAAGATCAAAATGGCTTCCTCTCAAGTCGTCACGTGATTCCACGATCCTCGAGAAGAATCCTCACCGAAATGCCCGGAAACGGAAACTTTCGCAGAAGAAGACGTCATAATGATGGGCCGTTTAGTTTCCTCAGCAAAAGTCTCCACGGCAGCGAGAAATCCGTCATCCTCGCCTTCAAACACAATGTCCACGTCGTCTAGTAACACGATACAGCCTGAAAGGTTCGCTTCATCGCCCAAATGATGGCTCAAAGTGGCTTCCCGCATCTTGCCCAGCACGATTTTCCCAGAACGCTTCGTGGAACAATTGATCTCCAGCACAGTCATTCCGGCTTCTTTGGCTGCAAAGTAAACCAGACTCGTTTTCCCGACCCCCGGTGGACCGTGGAGGCAAAACAGGGGCGGCGTTTGAGACTCGTCTTCATCGGAATCATCATCCGCATAACCTGAGAAAAAAATATTTTAATTTTAACATTAGAGGAAAATCTGAAGAAAATTTTCATAAAATTAACGCAGAATACGAGCAAAGCGCTCTCATTTTATCAGAGATCAAAGTGTAAAAATCAAAGCGGGAGAAGACGGTAAACGTCTGTTCTCAAAACCGCTCACAAAATCATTTTTCATCATTCAAAGTCCCAGTGAGAAAATTTCATTCATATCATTCATCATTTGAAAATCATGCATTAGATCAGCTTTCAGGTCGAAAATAAACTGAAGAAATGCTTCCAGCATAAGAAATAGCGAAAAAAATAAGAATGTCATTAAAATTCACTAAACGAAAACGTCTGCTCTCAAAACCGCTCACAGGATAATATTTCATCCTTCAAAATTACAAGGAGAATATTTGATTCATAAAAAAAAAATTCTGAAATTCTCAGCTCGGAAGCCGAAAGTAAACTGAAGAAATGCTTTAGGCCTAAGAAATAACGAAAACAAAATAAAAGACTGTCGTTTAAATTAACTGAACCAAAAACATCTGTCAAAACCGCTCACAGGCTCGTTTTTCAACATTCGAAATTCCGGAGAGAATTTTTGATCAATAATTTAAAAATCCTGACTTGGCTCTGGTCGCAGTTCGAAATTAAACTTAAGAAATGTTTTAGGCCTAAAAAATAGCGAAAACAAACTCAGGACTCTCGCTAAAATTGATTTGACCAAAAAACTTCCTCACCAATACTAAAAAACTTGAATATTAAAACGTCACAGAAAGCAATTCACCTTTCCGACTCTTTTTCTTGACACCAGCTGACTTAGTCGTTGACTTCTCCACTTTCCAATTTTCCAACCATTGCCGCAAATTGCTCAACACGTTCTCCCTATCCACTAGCACGTGAGCAAACTTATCCGTCCACAATAAGTCACCAGGATCATGCTCATCGATTTCTACTTCAATCTGTCTCGGGTATTTAGGTGCACTCGGCAATGACTTGAGAGAGCACCAACTGGGAACCCCGGGTACAAATTCATCTTCTTCCGGGGAAAGTTTTGGAAAATCAACACCGGAAGCATCGTTTTCGTCGCTCGATGAACCTCCAACGTGCATATTTTCACAGTTTGGAAACGGAACGTCATCATTTCCACCACTGAAAAGCCGAGAAAAACTTTTTAATTGATCAGATGCCAACAGAAAATGAAAATCTTCCAGTAATTTTACGAAAAAAAGAGTACCGTCACCAGCAACATTTCCCACCACCCAATTCATGCTTCAAAAATACAGTACTGTATATAACGTACTCGTCGGTACTTTCATGAAAATAATGCCTTCCCAGATGAAATACGTTCTTTTCCTACAGGAAAATTTAAGGAAAAAACAAAGAAAATCTCATTTCGAAGTTGTAAGTCTCCATAGACGTCGACAAAAATAAAATTAACAGTTTCTGATTCGAAAGTCGTATTTCAAGTAAAGAAATATAGATAAAAATATAAGATCATTGCTGAGAACTTTTGATAACACTAAAAACTTATAACTATTTTTAAATATTAGGCTATTAAAAATTATTTATTGGGAGAGTAAATAACTATTTTAAAATATTAGGCTATTGAAAATTATTTAGAAAATTTATTTTCACTTGAAATTATTTCATTTTTATTTATATTTTCAGCTATTATTTCCGGGCGATAACACTCGTACAATAAGAGCCCCGCATAATGAAACTCATCCGTTCCTGGATGCGTTTCGCTGCGCGGAATTCTCATAATACGAAACGTGTTTCCCTTGCGATTACATTCTTAGCAATTAAATTCGTTCCAGAAAACTCTCATAAGAACATAGTGAATCTTGAAATTTGTGTATTTTTCTTTAAATTTTAAATTTAACATTGGTTGGTACGAAATTGAAGTAATTGTGACAAATTCTTGCTCTTAACTTTCTGAATTTCCCGAATTATAAATGCAAGAAAATGTAAAAGCAAACCATTTTTTCTAATTTGCCTCAGTATTTGAAGAAATCCCCAATTTTTATGCAAAATTTGATAAAATTCGTTAAATTATTCGGTAATTTTATTAATCTTGTCAAGCATTTTTGCCAAAACATTTTGCTACGTGAGTGACTTCCTTGGTCCTGGGAATTTTCGTTATGCGGGAACTCAGGGTATTCCAGATTTGAGGCTAGGATTCTCTTCTGGCAAAGAGGCAAAAAGTATTACGGTAGATTTGAATTTATTATTTTTGCATGCTTGCTAGCTTTTCGAATATTTTACATGGTATTCATCAGAAAAAATATATACAGTACAGTATTTCAAGATACTCACTCGGATTTGACACATTGAGATGCCATTTTGACTACAGCTTCAGGTAACCCACTTTCCAAGAAGCTGCGTTTCGCAGCCACGGCTTCATTATTCACTGGCGGCACTTCGGGCTTCTTGGCGGCTTTCGTGAACATCGGCGCCAGTTTCTTCACCTTGATAACCTCCACTTCCGCTTTCACGTCTTCTTCGACAACTTGAACCGCGTTGTACATGGGCGTCGACTTGGCAGCCAAACGACTGGATCTCCTCCGATTCTCTGGTTCCGAGTCTACATCTGATTCCAAAATAACAATCTCATCCGACTCCGACAAGGAAACGCAACTGGTTCTCGGACGTTTCTCTGGACGCTTTTGCAGCGGAGGTGAAGAAGAAGGGTCGGCATGAACGATGGCGTGGACAGTGACGGTTCGCCGAGTGTACGTCGGGGATTCCGGGGCCTTCGGTCGTCCTTGAACGGAAAAATACTTGAGCAAGCCCGGGTCAGGATTTTCGTCCTTCACGTCTTCGTCGTAGTTGGTCGGCTGGGACTTGCGACGACGCTTACTTGACCTGAGGTCAACTGTGGAGTCTGGCTCTTCATCGCGTTTGCACGAGGAGGAAGAAATCTCGGGGATCTGAACGTCGAGATCTTTCGATTTCACAGATCTTTTACTTCGCTTTCGCTGGTTATTTTCGGGGGTTTCGGGGTCATCGGTTTCCCCGTTTACGGCTTCGATTTTCTTTTTTCCGATTGACTTTTGAGATACGCTTTGTTGTTTGGTCTTTTCCCGCAGTCTGCCTTTCGGCGGTGGAACAGAATTGACGGGTTTTTTGGAACCCGCGATACCCGGTTTTTTCAAGGTTCTGGCAAGGGTTTTGTTGCTAGAGGATTCGTCAACAGTATCGGGTTCATGGGTCAGTTTGGATTTCGGTGTGAAGTATTTCAACACACTGCTCCTCGAGGCACATTTTTCGGATACAGGTTCAACAACTTCGACTGGGTCATCTGAAACACTTTTTGAGTCCGTTCTGCTTCTACGCTTCACGGTGATCACCTCAAATTGCCACTCAGCTTCTTCAAACTGAGGAGGGCTTCCTTTCGGGGTAGATGAGTCTTTTTCAATCGTGGTATCGGATTTCGAACGACTGATGGTAGGTTTTGAAGCGGAAATCTTGCGGAGATAGTTCCGTTTGCGATGAAGACGACCTGGCTTGAATTTTGGATCCGCGGATGGTTCACTGGGATTTTCGATGATTTCACACGGATCATCAGAGGCTGGACTGGGAATAACAACAGGAGACAAATCCCGCACTGGGTCACCGGAATTGTTTCCTTTTGAATCACTGGCGACCTTATCCTCATTCGGAACAATTTCGGGTGACTCCAGGTCGATCAGTGCGACGGAAATATCTTTTTTCTGCGGCTCCGAAGACGATGATTCTTCATTCGCAACTGCTGCTGCTGCAGTTGATGATGTTTTCGTTTTCGAAGAGTAGAAATATTTCAAAAGCCCGGAATCTGGCTTTTTTTCCGTGTCGCTTGAACCATTCGTGAGTCCGGTTTTTCGCTTCTTGGATTTACTCCGTATGCTTCTTTTTTCCGTCGTTTCATCGTGGTCGCTGGAGGAATCTTCAATGATTTCGCTGCTAGGAAGACTGTCGCAAACTTCTGATTTTTCTTCTTCCGGCGATTTGGGATTACATTTCTTGATTCGGGCTCTCTGATTTGTAGAACCAAACCAGTCGATCATGTGCGAGTCGAGCGACGCTTCGTCAGAATTATCCGACCGAATTTCAAGCACTTCATCTGATTCGTCCACATCGCGCCGCTTTTTTCTCATCATAATTAAAATCCTTTCTGAAAAAAAAAAGAACAGAGTGAAATATGCTGACCGACGGAAACAATTTTCAAACAACAGGAGATCATGCATCACAGTTATTTGAAAAATTGGAAAAACATTTTTTCAACCGTGAACCCATCAAAGAAAATGAGACCAGCATTTGAGAGTCACATTTGTCCACACTGCGATATAACCACTGGGATTTTCGGCTTGTTGTTCGGGCCTGTAGGGACATTTTCAATTTTTCGCATCACGAGCAAACCATCGAGTATTCTTCCAAACACTACGTGAGTTCCGTCAAGGAATTCGCACTTCGCACATGTAATGAAAAACTGGCATCCATTTGTGTCCTTACCACTATTTGCCTAGAAATGGATAAAAAAAGTAGAATGAAAAAACATATACGAAACTGAAAAATACTACGATTGCTAAATTTTTCAAATAAAATAAGATCTGCCTTTATCAATCGAGTATCAATATCAAAGCAATATTTTTACAGTAATGGGTTTAAAATTGTGAAATGCCTGCCTCTTAAACTTGGAGATTTTCACGTCCGGAATAGGCTTCATTCCCAATAGAAATCCCGAGGAAAAAGTCTTAATATAAGTAATTAATGAATAAAATATTTCTTTAAATAATTATTTTCATGTTCGGAAAACTCAGGGTATTTTTTGAGGAAATCTACTACAAAATTGCTCCTTCAAAATACATTAGTATATTTTAAGTAAAATAAAATAAAACCCACGTTTTATTGCTTTCACATAATCACATTCAAATTTTATTTTCCGTCATTCTTCACTTCATATCTTCCCTACAGTGAATTCGATAATTCGGTCATGAAATTATGAAAAATACTGTACTCACCATAGATAACAAGCCCGGCGAGTCATGCTTTAACTGGAAATTCTCATCAGCAAATGCCCCTCCATAAATGCTCATCATTCCTGTTCCGTCTCTCTGAAAAAAAAAAAAAATATATATATATATATATACTGTATATATACAGTATATATACAGTATATAAATTTCTTTGACTGAACACAAATGTTTAACAATTAATAACATTCTTGAAAAAATAGCAAGCGTTTTAAAGTCGAGAGAAAAGACTATGTTTTAAGCACGGGATCAGTTGCTTTTTGAGATCATCGCAACGAAGCGTCTCAAGGCAGACAAAGCCGAGCACGACAACGTCACTCACACCTTTTACTGTAACCATCACGTCCCGCTAATACATTTAACATAATTCAAAGTTTGGTAATATTCCACGCATTCTAACAACTTCACTTGAACGTAAGAAGTCATTGTTTACAAAACCTTACAAAGAATGGAATGCACTTGAACTAAGAGTAGTACAGGTGGACTTGATTGTCTATACAACAAAATTATTTCCGCAGCAAATTCTTTTCTGGTCCATTGAATTCCGTTGTACGGAATGTATTGTATTCACAGATAATTTGAACACAGTAAAATCCCGTTAAAACAAGCTTGCAGGGACATGATCAATTTTTTTTATACGGAATGATTTGTCATGAGAGTTTTCAAAATAGCTCGAATGAAATGTCAAGTTAGACCTACATATACGCAGTAATTTTCTTTTCAGTCTTCTTCAAGTTACGGTATTCACTTTTGTTTGAAAAGCTCAGTAATATTTTGAATCATTGCTTCATTGAGTATGAAAAAAAAAATTTCACACGTTCAAACCAAGCAAAACGTTGATTCTCGTCATAAGTGAATTCTAGGCATTTTCTCTCCAAGAAAAAAAAATTCATCAAGAGATGATTTTAAGGTGGACAAAAGTGATTTAGTGAGAGTCTACCTGCACTGAGACAATATTCAAAATGTTTCAAGTTAATACTGTACTGTATTAAATCAATTTGTTTTGATCAAAGGATCACTTTCTATTGCGAATCTAATAAGCTATCCAACGCAAGACACCATCAGAATTTACAATAGATCATTTCTGCGAAAAACAGTGCATCTCATATTTGAGTAAATACAGTACAGTACAGTACTGTGATCGACGACCTTACATTGACGAAATCTCCGCCTTGGATCATGAAATCCTGAATGACACGATGGAAAGTAGCTCCCTTGAATCCGATCGGCACGCCGTCTTTTCGGTACTCGCCGGTACAAAATTGACGGAAATTTTCTACAGTCTTTGGAACGACGTCTTCGTAAAGTTCAAAAATTATTCGACCGATATCCTGAAAAATTATAAAACAAAAAATTAAATTATCAAGACGATAAAACGCATCTGAAATTAATGCTTACCGTCGCGCCCACATTGATGTCCATGAAGACCACTGGATTGTTGGGATTCCTCAACTGACCCTGCAGCTGATGCCAAGTCGGCATTTTCAGATGCTCAAACTCACACTCACAAAGACAAAAACGCAAGACTTCTGAAGAATAAATGAAAAAAAGTTTTAAATCATGATTCCAGAGTGTCGGGTAAGCTCGGGATGGAACAAGAATTCAGTGACAACTCAGCACAGGCGACAAGTGAAAAGGCAGCACGAAGAAAATTGTAACTACAGTACTGTATAAACAAAATGAAATAATTCGTGAGAAAAGTTACACTTTTATCATCTTCCGGAACCCAAGAAAGGAATTTAGGGAAGCTGTTGCAGTAGGTGACTGACCTCGAAAGACGGGAACCAACCTAACTTAAGGTCGTGTTACGCTTAAGTTTACTGATCAGTTGATCAAAATTCAAAAAATATATAGCGGAATCACAAGACTTTTTCTTTGTACAGGAAATGTCTGCAAATTCTGTGTAATTCAAATCAGCACAAATTCCGCGAAGTGAATAAAAACAAGCACAATTTTGTTGTCACCAGTTGTCTTTCAATTGTTCCTAATTGAAAAAAATCCTTCATTGTTCCCCTTATTTTTTATTCTCAGTTTTATAACATGCTTTTTATTTGATTTTATCATATTGATAGCTAGAAATATGTCAGGAAATGCTCTTACTTTCTTGAATCACAAAATTCAGCTTGTAAACCAACTGACGGGTGAAGTCACAATCTTGTGAAACGAAGACGAGTAAATGTATCTTTCCTCACCGAACTTGTTCTTTTTGTTTATAAATTTTTTTTCACTCGTCGCGGCACGGATTGTCGGATAATCGAAGAAACAAAATCGATTGGCAAGATATAACTCTGCTTTATGGTAATCCCTCTCGCTCGTGAGTGGCCTTCCCGTACAGCGTTTCCTAAACTCTGTAAATCGTATCACAAACGTCAAAAAAAAGACAGGAATACATTGTACACAGGAAAAAGGGAGAAGATCAGAATCCCTCAAAATAAAATCTCGACGAAAGTTTTTTCTTTCTGCGATGTCGTCACACACGCATACCGTAAGCTTCAACGAAAAGCCCAAACAAAAAATGTTTTTTCTTAGGTCAGGTTAAAAACTGCACGCCCCCTTCTCCCGTCACGGAACACACGCAACCATAAGAGAAAATGTGAATATCTAAGACTATATAACTAATGATCGGTTCTAAACATGATTCTACCCCTCCTAAAATAAAAGAAAAATACATTCCTTCAACAACAAAAAATACACATAAAAAGTTGGGGATGAATTTCACGTCCTACAACATCGCTGTCACACTGTCGCACAAAACGTCTCACTCTTCCTGCTTTTTCTTTTTCTCTCCGAGTTCAGATTACCAAAATAAGCTCTCAATTTGCCGGTAGAAACAATTAAACCATGTTTCATAGAAATGCCCACGGCATGAATTAAATACGAAGGGTTAGAAACAAGGTTCGCGATTGGTTCCGAAAGTTCTTTACAATTGTCTTATTTTTCTGGGAATCTCAAATGATTCTTTGAAATTTTTATGTTCCGTTGCTCAATAAATTTCTCATATACTCCTCGCATATCAAGATTTAAGAAGAAACATTTTAAAACGATGCTGAACATAACTACAGCAGTACGAAAAACGCGACCGCGAACTTTGATCTAAACCCTCGTTTTCGTTCTCTTTTGAAAATTCTGGTCCAACATTGATGAAATCTTCGAAATGCCCGACTCGGAATTAATTATCCATCGCAATTGAAGAATTCGCAAAGCTCGACAGGAAATATTCAACTCAAGAGTATATCAAAAGTCTTACTTCTCGTCCAAAATGAAACGCTTTTCAAAATGAATAAAGAACGTCCTCACTCCGTTTCGGAAATTTCCCAAACGAAGAAACAAAATAAAAAAAAATCATCCACACAATACATGAAACTCGCTGCTCACGTTCCACCGACGAGAAAGATTTCACCCATTACGAGAAGGAGACGTGCAAGCAAATACCAGAACCCCTCCCCAGAGCAACTGTTAACTAATGGCCAAAAGCGACGAAAAGCACCAATCGACACACAAAAAACACGCGGATTGATATAAATGATGATCGCTTTGTTCAAAAAAATTCCTCAAGCCAGAATAATTGAAAAGTTTTAAAAACTTTCTCTGAATAAATTGTTCCCAGTGCTACAACAGACGTCTTGGATGTCAACCTCAAAATCGGGAGAATCATCTTTGTTTCTGCAGAAAAGCACACCTAAAAATGTTCACGCAAATTGCTATTTGTAAATTGAAGAAAAAGCAGCAGAAGTGGCTGACGTAAAGAGACGTCCATGCTGAAAATGTTTCGTATTTCCGACGAAAGTAACGACTCCCATGTACAAGATCTAGCGTCCAGCCAAAATTAGCTCGGAATTATGCCACGAAGAGTTGACCTGAAAAAAGCTTTAAATCGATGGGCTTGAAGAATCTTGAATAAATGAAACAATCGACCATCGAGTATCATCATCCATCTGCCCGTCGTAAATAAAATAAAAAATACAGGAATCAAGGACGCCAGGAGGTGATTTGGTTTTTCTAGCATGGTAATCTATCCGTCCGCAAGCGACCGGGTCACAGAGGCATATTCTGTTCCACAGCGAACGCAAATTTTCTGCCCGAATTTATATCAAGAAAAACCATTGCTTCGCATATAAAAGTAAAAACAGGAATCCATCCATGTATTTTATATACGACTATACGACACTTCAAGCAAAATTTCCGGGTTCCAGTGAATTCTTTCTGGATATGTCAGCTAGGTGTCGCCTGAAAAAATTCTCAATTCAAAATTAATAGCATTTAAACTAAGTCGAACTCAATGAATTATTCTTCAACTGCAATATAATACAAGCGGAAAATATGCCACAGAGGAGAAAATCACGAGACACAGAACATCAGGCTTCAAAGTTCGAAGTAGACCACATTTTGAAATAACATCTTTTTTGTAAATTTCGAAGGAAGAACTGGTTAGGCATGGGTTTTAATTGACCTTTTGCATGTTTGCTACGCATAGCAACTTAGATTCTCTTTTTTTCCATCAAATATAACATCATTTTAAATTTAATAAACTCGGGATTTCCTTCGACGCCTTCGGTTAGTAAGATGTCGCCTGAATTCTTCAAATTTGACCTGAGGACATCCTACAGAACCTTGCATAACCCAAGTCAAATTGGCCAAGCATAACCCAACTTGCTCAGACCAAAATAAAAACTGAAAAATCTTCAAAGCGAATTCAATTTTACCAGAAATTTTACATCAAAATCGGGGGAATCGGGAGTTGAAGCGTAACAAATATGGTAAAACTAGAATCACAAATGAAGGGAAATAAACTCAATTGACATGGAAATTGAAAGTAAAAAAAAAAAAAAAAAGCTGCGACTGGCCGAGGAACTTCTCCCGACTTTCCTGAATCATTGCCACGCGTGGCAGCAGCAGCAGAAAATGCACATCTGCAAAAGCGTCCTCGTCAGCAGCCGGGCGCAAGTATAAAACTAATGAACTCTGCATCTTTTTCCCCGGACACTTTGAACGGATGGATAGTTTACGAAGCTTTCCAGGGTGGGGGCGGGGGTGGGGGATCGAGGGTTAGGGAATTGGCCCGAGGATACACACTCAGGAATGCCATGCTAACTCGACGTTCGTCGCAGGTTTTGTTGTTGTTTTGTTTTGTACTCGCTCTCGAAATGCTGCCGCCACAAGCGCACTCTACAGTGGATGGACGCCTCACGGTCTCGTCACAGAGAGAGTGGAGTAGTCCGGCCACGGGGGTCGCAGCTCCGTCAACCCGCACCCAGGGAATACCGGGAGATTCGTTACCAGTGGCGGCGGAGGATGTGGCCAAGTCTGGGATCCCTGAGTCGGCGGAGTGGCTTGCGGTTTGGCTTCTGTCACCGGTGGCTATCAATAAAATTGATTGAACAAAAAACTGTTATGACATCTCCCAGAGATAGAGAGAAAAACATTGATTCATCGTCATCCAATTTTTAGGAATCCTCCCACACAACGCAATTAATCCGGGATACCACCATATTTTTGATTGCAAGTCAATTTACAGTAAAACTCCGATTATCGCAATAAAAGTATTAAATAAAAACCGCTGCGACAGGTTCTAGAGAAAGACAAAAAAAGTTGATCTAACCTTGTCTAATTTCTAAAAATACTGTACACTCACCGACAACGCGATTAACACGGTATCCCATAATATTTATAAATAGAAGTCAATTTGCAAAAAATTTTGATTATCGTAGCTTTAATGAACGGATATTCGACTAACCGCCTCCATGTTTTGAGTTCATGCCAGGAATAAAAAACAAGTAGCCTATAGATCTCTCTGTTTGAACTCGAGTCACTTATTTATCCGATTCTTGTCTCATCACTTAGACTGTTGCTTCTACCGGTAGACTCTCGAAAATAATTTCGTATTGTACACCTGAGGAGGTGCCGAAGTAGGAGGAGGTGGAGGTGGTGGAGGAGGCGGCGGGGAGGACGCCCGAGTGCGGGTTGAGGCGGTTTTCCGGCGCCTCTTGGGTCCTGTACGGTTTAGTCGAGCCTGGCGCTGTTCCGTCGTTTCTAAAGCACGGCGCATCCTAGCCTCTTCTCGACGTTTGAGCTTGAACCGCTCGTGCTCGTCAACAGGCATTTCAGCCCTTCAATAATAAACACGAAATGTAACGTTAGCTTCTTTTCGTCCGACACAACAGACATTTTGTAGAAAAAAAAGGTAAAAACGTTTTTAAACAAAAACCAGGAACGACACGCATTCACGAACAGCTTTACAGTACAACTACGACTGAATTGAACTAGTGAAACTGAAACATTTAGATGCGAAAACTCGTTTTAAACCGTCTCAGGAAAACAAAAATGAACGTAACTTTCTCTTTTGACGATTCGGGAGAACGTTTGCCAAAACTGCCACATTAAATAAGACAAATCTTTAGACTAGATTAGGACTGTTTTACATGACTTGGACGCGAATGTGCATTTTCCTCACATAGTGCTGTCAGGCCTTAACGTCACTGCAAGCATGTCATTGGGAATAATTTGCCGCGGCTCTGTACAAAGAAAAGAGACAGTTGACGAATTCGACGGATAATCAATAGATAGAAATTCGTAAAAGAGAAAAACATAATAATGTCAAAAAATTCACTCATTTTCGAAATCAATTTCTATTCCCATTTTCGATACACGACTCTCCCTAATATTGTAAGAAAAAATGAGGAAACCCTTAAAAATGTTTATAATGGCTCAAAATATTGGCTCGACAATTTCGAGGTTTGGCTATCGGGGATTAATATTTTCGATAGGTATATAGAGCATTGATTGAAAAACTTCGTTTGGAAATCAATTCTTAAACATGTCATCTTGATAACTTTAACAAACAATTTATGGATGGATCACTACATGAGTGCCAATTTCGTGTTCCAAAACGTTCATGCGCATTGAAATATCAACATTTTCGGCGAGGTATTGAACATTTGCGTGAAATTCTACACAGAATATAAAATTCTGTTTTCGTTTCAAGCACAGGTCTTGTAGGTAATATCGAACGTAACTACAGCACAGAACAGTACTTAGTGTACGATTCCAACAAAATAACTTAATTCACCAACATTTTACTGTAATTTCAATAACTACTGAATATTTCACTCACAAAAATTTGATACTTTACATCTTTTATATTTTTGCCAATGGCTCACAGCAAAAAAAAAAATGCTTGGGTCTTGAGTACATAACGATGAAGGAGAAAATATAAACTGACAAACTTTTGAACTATTCACCGTACACAAGCATTATAAAGAAAATCTGAATTTTGAACACGAATAAATTCATGAAAAATGGACTTTCTTTCAACAACAACAAAAACTTTACGGACAACGAGCGTGAAACTCGACAAATGAATCATTTTGATAATTGAACAAAACTCCAGAACTATTCCTCGTACACTTTACAGTAGAATAAATCCGAGCAGCTTTACATCGTTCATGGAAAATGACCGTCGTTTCATTCGTAAGAAAAATATCATCAAATTAATCCCGGCACGCGACAGATTTGATATTACAATTATAAAATTATCGTAAATCATCGAAAGCTAGAGAAACAAAAAACAATGGATCCCCCTTTTTTTCTCACCGGATCCTTCGCATTCTTTCACGGTTGATCCTCCTTTCTTCCTCTCTCTCCTGCGCCGACAAAAGCGCCCGTTTCATCCGCATTCGATTCCTGTTAACTTCCCGCTGCTTCGCCCGCCGCCGCTCCTTGGCCGCCTCCTTGGGGCCGGTGCTCTTCTCCGAGCCGGAGCCCGAACACGATTCGGGCTGGGCGCCCATCGGTATGAAAGCGGGCACTGAATGCAACAACAGCAAGTCCGGCTTCACGTCCGAATCCTCATCTGTCCGCGGCGACTGCGTGCTGCTCACAACGACACGCGGAGTCGGCGTTGGTAAGACAAACGACGCGGAGTCCTCCATGACGGGCTCGCGACCCAGGCATCATGACACTACGTCCATCCGAAACGCACTTCATAAATATCACCTTCTCTTTCTCCTGAGGAAAAGTGACCGGCCTTCCGCGAGTCCTTTGCAATTTTCACTAAGCATAAGAGAATGTCGAGGAGACGCCAAAAGTCAAGTCCAGCATTTCACTGCAAGGGTCACTGCACACTCACTCATTCAATAGGAAATTCCCCTTTCTGAAAAGAGAAAACGAAACTTAATTCAAGAACTGGATTCAAAGACATCACACAATTTTTAAAAGTTTCTGCGAAGGTCTACATCCCCAATCATGATGCGCTTTTTTCCAAACGCCAATTCAATTTTCAAGAAGATAGAGGATAGGTGTTTCATATTTGATTACGTGAATGAAGAATGGATGAAAGAATGCATTTCTGCTCTAAAACAAAAAATTCAATGAATTTGAAATGCTGAGAATTTAAATTTGAAGTTTAATCAGGTCTCGAAATCAAGTTGATCAGCATTTAACTCATCAACCGACTACTTAAATTTGAGAGGGGAACATTTACTGGCACAGCTTACTTGAAAGAATATTAAAATCAACTTCAATTAACGGATTTTAACAGTGAAGTATTCGTAATTTCAAAAATCAAAATCGAGATGATTTCATTCCATGTCTATTAAAATGAACTTCTTCATCGCATAAAAAATTGTAAAGATCTCAGCGAGGACTTCATTAATTCCAACACTGACTTTTCGGAGAAAAGCTTCCGACAAAATTGTTCTCCGGAATTTTACAGAGGAATATTTTCCCCATGTTTTTGGGAAACAATACTATTCCAAAACACTTCTAAAATACATTTTAGCATCCATATATATTTTTTGCAGTCATTTGATGTCTTCCAATTAAAATTTAACGTGAAAACTAGAAAATAACAGAACTCATCCATCACGGGAATAAAAAACCGCTATAACAAGATTACAGTTTTTCTTCCTCTGTTATATCCTCTATTTGAAGTATCGGAAAAATTGAAGAAAATGTCAAAATTTGGATTTATAAAACTAAGTTGAGTCCTTCTTTTGCAAGCAGCAGATTGGCGAGATCAACCTACGCAGAAATATCCCAAGAAAACAGTTTTACGCGACATTCGAGACATTTAACTGCACGTTTAAATTCTTTCCCACGGCAATTTTTAGTTACACATTCAATATAACGCGAAGAACACAAAGCAACTCACTTTCCGAAAGCAGCAGAAAACCAGGTCTTTAAAATTTTGTCAAAAATCGTCAGTAAATTCATAAACCAAGAATTCGAAACAGATGTTCTCTCACGTCGTCAAGAATCACGAAGGCACGCGGGCCTTCAAGATATCATCCCGAAAATTCACAAAATAAAAAAAGCTTTTTACAACAGTGTCCTGTACAAAATTGTCCTCATACGAAGAAAACACGGTTTCGGATTGTTGCACAATTCGGAGAAACGCGAAAAGTCCCTTGCTTAGCCCCGCAACAAAAAAGCGAGCATAGATCAGCGATGGCACATACAGGAAAATAAATGACGCATTGAATAAAACACGACATGTCGACAAAAACGGAAAAAATATAGAATCGAGTTGAGCACAAAGCAAAGCGCTTCAACGACGGTAGGCCATAGGTAAAGTCGGGAATGATGACGAAAATGCCATGTCGTCATCTTGACCATCAATCTAAAATTCGCGACGCAAGGGAAAAAATAATGATAAAACTAAGGATTGAAAACGCACAAAAATTACGGCTGTCTTTCCAAAAAATTAAAGCAATGAAATTCCATCACCAACGACATACACAAACACACACGCCAATTACCATGGATTCTCATTCACGTTATTAATGCCTTTCCATTACTAGTGGCTTCGTTTCTGTTGAGCAATAGATCTGCTTCATCACAAAAGAAACAGATTGCCGTGAATATAATTACTCGTCCATCGTGAAAAAAGTTTTAAAATAAAAAAATGGCACCACTAAATGGAATCTCCATTTTATGGTTCTTCATAATGCCCCTATGTGTCTCTAACCCAAGATCTAAATTTCACGAAATCCTTTCTTGATGGTGTCGCCGAAATTGAAAAAAAAAATTTTTCAAGATTTATCTCAGGCTGTGTGAGCTTGGCTTCAATTGGTCAGCTCAGTTTGCACTCGTTCTGCTCATGCGAATACAGTTCAAGACAACACCAGTCTCAAGCTTCAGAAACAGTAATTTGAATCCAACCAGGGATAAGATAAAAGAGGAGAAACGATTTTATTTTGCTGCATCGGGCGTTAAATTTCCAGATAAAAAAAACCTCTGCAGTCGTCATAAATTTAGAAAATGGAGATTGGATCCTCGACATGTTTCAAAAATGCTGAAAAAAATCTGACTATAAATTCGATCAACCCTCATCAACATTTTTTCCGCAAAAATGTTCTTCCGAGGAATATTTAATCTAAAAAATGATCGATAAATTTGCATAACCGTATGTCAAGGGAGGAATCTGGCAGTTTTTTTGTTTTTGTTTTTGCCCAGCATTGAGAGATTCGAAAAACACAGCTTGAAAATATCAAGACAAGTAGACATCTGTACAAAACTTGAGCAAGGAATGCAGCAGGTTCAATCTTCGATTTTTTTCTTCGTGGAGAATATAAAAAAAGCTGCGTGAAAATCGCAGTCACATTCAATCGTGCAAAACGACCCGACAGCCACGAATGAAAGCGATGAAGCAACAGAGAAAAAAAAAGCCATCAGACACACAGCAGCGGCAGCAACAGCAGCAGTGAAGACACCAAAGCAATACGCGGATCCGAAATAAAACGATTTTTAAAAAATCCAATCAAATTCGTTAGTAGAAAGTCGACGCCTCCAGAGTTTTGCAGTGACGTGAGAGAGTGGCATACTGACCATGATTCGGACCGGGTAGGGTAGCTATACTCACGGGAGGCGCTCCAGGATGATGCTGAGTCACATAACCCCTGTGATGATAGTTCCCGGGCGGATGATAGCCTCCGTATCGTGGATCGTTCTCCATCGTTCGACCGTTCCTAGAATAAAACGTCAACGATATTCGACAGTTGTATAAAAAGCATGGAATTTGAGTGAGGGAGTTTCTCCTAATGGTAATACTGTATTAAAATTTAGTAGATTAAAAAATTAATCTAAAAAACCACGTTTTCAACAAGAAAGTGAGTTCATAAAAACGTGGTAATAAAAATAGAGGAGTCTGAAAAAATTTTCAAAGTTGAGGAGATAATTTTCCAATTTAATGTCACTAGAAACTTTGTACCAGACTAGAACGCGCACCGTGTTTTTCGCTCAATTTTTTTGGGGAAAAAGGTGCGCGCAGTAATAATTAAGAAAACCATGCAGTATAGATCAGTGTTCCCCAACCCATGGTCCGCGGACCGGCGCCGGTCCCCAGAAGTTTTTTGCCGATCCGCGGGACATTTTCTGCAGCACAATAAATTCAGAAAAGTAGCAATGAAGTCAGATCTGGGAAAAACAATGGTAGTTGAAATCATCTGAAGAAAAAGTAAAATTTGGCTTTTTTTTATAATTACACTTGAGACAAATTTTCACACGCTGAAATAAATTACATCCATTTTTTCCATCTGAGAAACCTTTCTTCAAACCCATCTTTCTAATTTTTTGTAAACATTCCACTATACACCTGCTTCACTGGATCTTGATTTTTTCGAAAATAAAGCAGCAACTTTTTAAATGCCCGAAGTAGTCTTTCAAGCAAAACTTTTGAGTCGGCAAAATTTTACAAAACTTCGCCGGTCCGCAGAAAATTGTTGGGAAATTTGCCGGTCTGGAAAAAATTTCATGGCGATTTGATGGTCCGCGGGCCCAAAAAGGTTGGGGAACACTGGTATAGATATTATGCGAGAACCTTTTTCAAAACAAATCAAGAAATAAACACTCACAAAGTTCCTGGAAACGGAGGAGTGTGCGGAGGAGTATGGGTGTTGGAGTAATGCCTGGTTCGGTAGGATGGTCCAAGACTCCCGGTCATTGCAATATTAGTTCGACGATTCAAGTTCGCAGCCGCCTGTGCATTCCGGTTTTGTCCCGGCGGCAAAAATGGATCCGTCTCTTCCGCATTCAAGTAGTTCCTAATTATGCAGTAATCATAAATTCCAATCATTCAATGCTGTAAAAGCTGCGCACGGACAAACCTCTTTCGCATGTATATCCATAAATGCGAGTCCATCAGGACGAGCACGTAGAACAATACACAGCATGCCGAAAATGACAGCAACATGATTGTCAGCCCCAACCTGCAAAGAAAATGTAACTGTTATGAGCATCATATCACGCAATAACGACGAAGTCGCAGGTTTTAGGATCTAAAAATCTTGATGATTTGGTGCATCTTACATAAATACTCACATCAAAGCGAAGATTTTTAAACCCCATCTTGGCGTATAACTACTTTACTAATTTTGCACGAAGTAGAATATTCAATGGTTCCAAAAGACAAACAATTTATCGCTCAGGAAAGGAGCTTTGCGAACACGAGTCAACATTTCGGAATGGTCAATCCGAACAGCAATTCTTGTGAAAATAATGTACAAGTGAACTTGACATTTTCACACACAAAAAAGTAAGAACTTTTGCCTACCCAACGTTGCTTACGTTTTTCTTTCGATATCAGGGCTTCCTCATTACAACATGAGCCCGCCGATTCGAGATATTTTACGTTCGAACCCGTTACAGGGAACTGAAGATGTTTTCACGTGATCCAAGTTCGGCGAATTTCCTCAAGGACTCGCGCGCAAGATATTTTTGCAGCGACATCTATGAAACGAAATTAACTCCTGTCACATGATCTCTAAGGTTTGTTTGTGATGATGCTACAGTGCTGTATTACAAAAACGAATTTAATACCTAAACCAACCTAAGGACAGATAATACGAAAACGTTGTTTGTTTATCCTCTTGCAGATGTCGCGAAGACATGGGCTCCTTACACGAAAATAGCGCACTACTATTCACGTTCTGCTCTATATACACAAATTGATTTAGTCTCCGTCTCCAATTCGTGGGAGTTTGCATTTTTGCTCTCTAAAAGGCGTATTTGAATTTCTACCCAAATACAGCATTTCACAGAGAAGCAGCCAAGGTCAGAAAAGATTCGAAAAATGTGACCTCCACAAATATGAAACCAACAAAATTTACGACTAAGAATTGAAGCAGTGGAGAATGAGAGAAATTCTCGGACAAAAAAGTAGTAGAAAACTAGAAATACAATTGAAGCATTGTCATGCGTGTTCCGGGAAGGGAATTAGCCAGCTTGGAGTTTTATCCAAGCTTTAATAAATAATATATTGTACATTGAAAAAGCTTGAGCGAAGCCCGCAAAACTGGGACACTGATGCGGCCAACACTCAAGCATCTCAAGAAGAGGTCACTTTAAAAATTTTTCATCAGCACTTTTCGGGAGAAAAATTGCGACATATACACGCGCAAATACGGCAATTCAATATTCTGAAGCCAGCGCTGCCCATCATACGGCCCAAGGGCCGGATCTGGCCCGCATAGACTTTTCATCAGTCCCGCGGGCCCTTCACTAAAATTTTCAAGGTGGCAGGCGCCACCATCCAAAATATTGTACATATTGCGAGATTCAATGAGGCTATGCTTGTGATTCAATGCATTTCAGCGAATTAAATCTGAAACTTTTAATTCAATAGGGGGAAATTTTTAACCTCAAAAATTATCGTCTATTGCGACCCTCAGGGACTCTCTACCCATGCAATGTGGCCCTTGGATACAAAAAAAATGCATCGACAAGTTTTTTATGCATTACTTTTCTTTGGTATAGGGTGTCCAAAGTGAAGTTTTCGACACCCCATACCAAAGGAGACTGTTACTCACATCAAGTCATTGCACCCGGTTTCAAGGGCTTTAATGTATTCCACGTAAACTGGTCGGCAGGAAAGCGCGGAATGCAGTTGTTTCATGCCCTCGGCAGTTGCGTTGACTGCTTGTCCCAGTTTCACGAGTTGGTCACCGTTCAATCGATTCGCAATGTCATGCACGGTGTTCAACGAGGATTGCATATTACTGGTGGCTCTACCGCTTTCAATCAGGTATTGCTCGAGTGGATTTTCTCCCCGAGGTTGGCACTTAATGTAGTAGTCGACAACGTCTCTCGTCGGGTTACTTCCAATGTGATTCATGACGAAGTCCTCGGGCTTTCTGCATATGTCACTCAAGCCCTGCGAAAGATACACGCAAATTTCGACAGTTAGAAGACAAATTTAGCCAGAGTTTTTAAATAAAAGCTGAGATAAAAATAAAATAATTCGGCACATTACGCACGTTGCTAACACAGTTATGAAAACAATGCTTTCTAAATCCACTTAAATCGAAAAATTCCATAAGAACCTGCATAATGCCATTTCAAAGAAGAATTATTTCGACAATACACCTGGTATGTTAATAGTATTAATGCAATATAAAATGTGAATGAAAAAAAATCCGCATTGAAACAACTCCTTCCTTCGCGGGCTACGCAAATATTCAAGGCCACATGAATTTTCTGCTTCAAATGATTCCGAGTTTTTCACAAGAGGACTATGAAAATACTGCTTTTATTTATCGCCTGTTGAACGCGACGCAAGTCCAACGCCATTATTTTCTTTTTCATTCACACACGTGAAGGCTAAATTTCATCGAGTTTCTTCAGTGGGTAGCTATTTTACGGAAGACTCCGACAAGATTCTGCATCGCAAAATTTCTTGAGGAGCAACAATAAATAATTTGTACAAAGAGATTTTTACAACAAAAACTATTTACATTTCAGAGCCTTGCAGCTCAACTTCTGAAGTTTTGATGTAAATGAAGACTTGCAATGTATTCAAGTATTTTATGTAAAAGAAGACGTGAAATAGAAAGAAAAGTTGCAAAAATTTGAGAATTTCGGAGAGTTGAGGGCGTAGAAATTTAAAATCAGTATTACACGAATTTTATACTGTACAATACTGATCTTTTTCATAGTTATACTAAAATACGGTGGTACCTGGCTGAAATGAACAGGTTAACAGGTTTCCAAGGCTTACACAAAATGTGCGTGAATGTATCGAATAGATTACACGTTTTTCCACTATAATGCATGAAAAATCGCTTTTTCTTTTGAGAAAATTATAATTCTGCACAAAAAATAAAAAAAATAATTGGAGGATCGCATGACTTCCGCTAGGCGAGAACCTAATGTATTTCACAGAGTAGGCCACTTTACCCGGCCAAGTTAAATTAACAATACAGTAGAATCATCTATTTGGAGAGATTACCCGTCTGATTTTCGAAATTGTGAAATTGCAGGTTGAACAAATGAGCCGGAAAATGCAGGAGAAAACCAAGACTCCCAACAGATTCCAGTAGCAAATGCTCATTGGATTCGCTTGCATACTTCGAGCATAGCAGGCAAAAATCCGAAGATTTGTGTAATGAATCCTTGAACGGATTCAAGTTCAAGTAATATTCTAAAATAAATCATTAAAGTTACCAATAGCTGAAAAATACAATATTCACCATAGCAAGGACGAGCAGAGCGCAAGCTACGAGTACACTCAAGACTGTCGCCAGAAGTCCAAGCACCGAAAACCTACATCACGAACAACCAAAAAAGAAATGAATGAAAATATGTACCCATTTCTTAAAATTCACAATACTCACAGCATCAAAGCACATCTGTACCGTTTAGTCAACCCAATGATGAGGATTAAACAGAACAGAGCGAAAAGGCCAAGAACGGCAAAAGTCACGGGAGCGCGTATTTCCTCTACACGACTGATGTGATGAGCCAAAATGGACACTTCCGCGTCGCCGATTTTTCCATTGACTGAAGCTATTCTGCTCTTTGCTTCTGAAACGTTCCTCGACATCTCATCGAGAGCCCTGAGGATCCTTGGGTCACCCGATTGTCGGTTGAGGTCGTCCAGCAAATTTCCAACGCGGGGTTCCACCTCTTTATGCAACTTTCCGGCAATATCATCAGTTTGATTTTTCGCTCTCGATGATAAGTAGTGGATTCTGTCGACGTGGTGAACGAAACTTTCCACGCTTGCGTGCGCAAGGTAGTTTCCGAACATGGCAAACGACAGTGATGCTCTAAATATGAAAGAATTCCCCTGAACTGATCAAGCGGAAATTGTATGCACCACGACACGGCATTCTCGCACCCGGTTTTTGCACGCTATCCGATTTATTCAAAATTAAAAATTTCCGATGACATTTTTGAGTACATTTATTTCGATCGGAAGACCAAAATTCTAGAAGAACTGCCCGCGACATTGTCCTATGATCCGATACAGATGGAATGTTCACTGCTTACTTTTGAACCTTTCTCTCTCTCACAGTAACTCAACTCTGCGTATTCCAAGTTCAAATTAATAAAATTAACAATGCGAAAGCAGGATCCTTGTTGTGCCTAAAAAAAATGTTGTCACTTCAACGAATCTGGTTTAGCAGACAAGAAAAATTGATTTGAAATTAACCTGGAGACTATACTCAAAATCAAATAAATTAGTGACTTGTCCAAACAGGAAAATTCATGATCTTGAGGATCTCGCGTTAATGAATACTTCAGGGCATCGGCAAAACTTTCAAAACCGTTATAATCACTTCTTGAAAGCTTTTCAAAATGTAACATCCAACTGAAAGACGACTCCTACCAATCCAATTTGAACGCTGTTACTCACAAGCAGAGAACGCCGAAGAAAACCAAGACCCATCGCAAGAATCCGAACCGCTTTTTCTTCGCGGTCTTACGCCTGCAGCAATACGCTGATAGGTACACCAGCAACACTACCAAGCTAAGAATTAGTATAACCGCCGGCAGCGAACCCCACAAACCTAGAGTCTAAAAAAAAAAAAATGTCGGTCAAGTATTACGCAAAATTTCAGAGATTCTGCGGTTTTGATCACTTACTTCGAGGTACTGCTCGCTTTTGAGATTGAAGGTGTCATTCACTATGCGGAATGAAATGTCCCAATGTGGTCGAGAATGAAACAACCGAACAAACCATGACGGGTTATACCGAGGAATGATTTCCATTGCAGCCGTCAAGATTGCAAGCGGCGTGATTCACAGAACACTCTCACAACCTCGGAAAACCATCCGAGGACACAAGCAAGCAAGCTACATTCGCGACTAGCCGCGTTTTCGCACGAATCACTCGAAATAAGCTATTTCTGCAAAATAAAGCGCACCCTCAATTTGAGAACTTACTCAGGAAATACTGAAAAGGGGACATCCACTCAAGTAAATAATAGAAATAATCGTGTTTTAAACCGTTCAGGGAACTTCCATGGAATGCCTCGTGGTACATGAATGAAACAAATTCAATTGGAAAACGAAAAGTAACATTCTTTCAACACAGTAAACGAATATGTCTCAACGGTCCTTGACAGTTTTAAAACGCGATTCGAGCCTCTTGGAATACGCATCCAATTGGTACGCAGCCTTTTCAAGCTTCTCAATGCTATCTTCAATCTGCTGAAGTTGAGCTAAATGTGGCTCCAGCGAGGCATCTGAAACAGATCACGAATAACTTGATCAACCTGCATTCATGTTCAAATATCAACCTGTATAAAAAAGACTTCCATTTTCACAAGACTCCCCGAATTTTCAGAAAAGGAAATTATCGCTCACACTTTTCGTTAAGCTGTTGGAGAGATCGTTGAACACTTCCGGTGATCTGGCGCATGTCGTGGTACTTGCTCACGGTAGCCAAATTCATCTTTTCCAAAACTTCGTAATGTTCCTTTGATCGGAAGAAAGTCAGGGTGCATGACTCACAAGGAAAATTAATTACTGTACTCACTTGCACTTGCAGAAGCTCTCCTTGAAGGTATACGGAAATTTTCCCGAACGCATCTCGAGCCAACTCGTTCAATCGCGGATCTTCAGATGAACTATGGATGCTGTCCAACTGATCAGGGGACTCCTTGCCTGCTCGAAACCACGCTTATGCAAAGTTGAAATCGCAGTTTTTAAAAACGTCTCACCGCCTGATAACGAAGTTGAACCTGTTCCCATTCCTGTTTCATGCGCATCCCGGGCGCCACCATCAGAGGTAGCCATCAATGACAATAACTATGTTTTAAACACGCCCCATCTGCCGTTGATATCGAAGAGATCTAAAAATTCAGGTGGAAACAAATTTAAAAATTCCGAATGAACAGCTACAGCACAATTGCATGATGATTTACAGTTAGATCGAGTATAACGGCGACATCCGAGAAATAAAACACTGATCAACGGGAAACGTGAGCAGAAAGACCCAGTTACAAAAACGCGAAAGTCAGGACATTTTCTAAGATACATCTCACGAATTATCTCGATTCTTAAAGCACCGACCACTTCAGCCTCCGCTTACGCCCGAAAGCAGAACCATAAATCGTCACTGAAGCAGGAACTCATCGCCAAGCAATCCGATCAAGTGAGAATCACAACAGAATTAGGTAGGTTAGGGATGTGCACCAGAGTTTCTGAATAAAGTATTGTACTGTGCTGATAAGCAATGAAAACTTGTGGATAATTAGATGTACAGTACAGTATTGCCTTAATCCATCCCAGTCAGAAAACTGAAATTTTAATCCACCTGTGTTCAATCAGAAATTCAAAATCGCTGCAAAAAGTGCAAATAAATTAAGCAAACATTATCTTAAGAAGTTGTGAAAATGAAATTGGCTCTGATTCATGATCTGCGTCATTTATCAAATAGGCTGTAAGTTTTGAAAAAATATGGACATAAGATGTGAAAATGTTATTGTTTCTTCCAAAATAATTTAAATCCTCAAATTTGATCACATGCAAAAAAAGTACTGTACAGAAGTGTATTTGCGATTCATGGATGTTCATAGGAATGAATGTGTTCAATCTGCCTACCTGCGAAGTTGCGAACGACTAAACTGGCTGGTCGGCGTTCCGGAGAATTCGGGGAGTGGAGAACAAAATTTTGTCAGCGCAGTTGCTTTTTGCATGAAGTGTTCGAACGCGGTTACCTTGTCTTCTCCGTAAGATTACTTTCTGTGTCCGTTGATTTCCAATGCGGACAGGTACATTAATCGAGTCGAGAATGCTTTTCAGTGAATTCTTGTAGAGGTCATTGATGGTGGAATGCCTTTTGGAAATCATGGTGTTGTAGCTCAAAGCTTCGGTGCTGCCCCAATTTTTAGAGAACGAGTCCTCACACGTAACAGTTATGTGATGATTTTTTTAAATCTTGATGAACCGCGTTCGAGTAGTACCTGCTTAACCAATGTTGTGACTCTGAAAGCTGTATTTGAAGACCATACTTTTTTTTCGATTCAGAGTGGCAGTAATTACTGTTCGAAATGGTTCAACGCGTGACATTGCGACGTCGGTTGTCTTACAACACGGCGAGCAACCGACGAGAAGTGGCTCGAACTCCCGGAGGAAAACTCGTTTACTTGTACAAGAAGAAACCCGGTGGACATCCAAAATGCGGAGATTGCAAAACCCGTTTGTGTGGAATCATCGCTGCTCGTCCACGTGAATACTCAAGGATCAGCAAGACCAAGAAGAAGGTGTTCCGTACTTATGGTGGTTCTTTGTGCCACAAGTGTCTCCGTCAGCGGATCGTCCGTGCGTTCCTTATTGAAGAACAGCGCATTGTCATCAAGGTTCTAAAGGCGCAGCAAGGACCCACCCGCCCCACAGAGAAGAAGAAGTGACTTCTTTAAATTGTTCGGTCGGTCGGCGCGTTGTTTCAATAAAATCTTGTGCCCTGGGGATCTTGCTTCTGATTTTTCCTCTGTCGAATTCTCGCTGGCCACAATTTAATGAGGACTCTATTTTTCTTTCAGGTATCAGTGTGGTCGAGTGGTGAATCAAGAAGTGTTCTGGGTAATTGGTGAAGTGTTCGTGGTTGTTTTTGTCTGATGATTTATTTGTATTGGACGGGAGCAGATTATAAACTACGTTTTTGTTCTTGCAAACATTTTCAGATACGGTGTGGTAGACTTCTGCGCCTCAAAATGGTTCAACGGGTCACTTTGCGCCGTCGGCTTTCGTACAACACGGCAAGCAACCGACGAGAGGTAGCTCGAACTCCTGGCGGAAAACTGGTGTACTTGTATAAAAAGAAACCTGGAGGACATCCGAAATGCGGCGATTGCAAGACTCGCTTGTGCGGAATCATCGCTGCTCGTCCTCGTGAATACTCTAGGATCAGCAAGACCAAGAAGAAGGTTTTCCGCACTTACGGTGGTTCCTTGTGCCACAAGTGTCTCCGCCAAAGGATCGTTCGTGCCTTTCTCATCGAAGAGCAGCGCATTGTCATTAAGGTTCTGAAAGCACAGCAAGGACCTGTGCGCCCGGCGGGAAAGCAAAAATAGCGAATTTCAATCGCGTTGCTTTGTTTGCTTGGTATAAAAGAATGCTTCGTGTTGATCGTGTGTTTCTTTGCGCTGAGTGCGGGAAATGGGTTCTCTTCCCTCTACAACCCCGACCTCGCCTTCCTTTAATATCTAGGAACTGAATCAATAGCCTTATCGAAAATTACCAAATTGAACTTACGGTGACCAAACCTGACCCTTCTCAAGTGAACCTCATGAAAACCAAGTGAGACACCAGAAAAACGTGGCATGATTCGAAGACACATTTATAGATACTTGAGTTAATGGTGATGCTTGGGCGTTAAAGTGAAGAGAACCGGGAGAAACATTTCAAATTGATTCAACTTTTCAAGGTAAATTTCCTTTAGATTTCTTCGGTACAACCGCTGTTCCATGGTCTTCTGGATTAATTTTGGCTGTGTTTCGAAGTTTTTGTACCGGTTTCCTGTATTTCGCGTGTGTGTGCGGAAAGATTTTTACGATATTTGCTAATTGAATTAATTCGGGAGTGAGTCTTCCCGTGATCCTCGTCTTCATCCGCCGAACGTGGTCATTAACACTATGTCTCACCAAACTGGAATTACTGGTATGATGCGAGATTTATAAAAATGTGTGCATGAATGAGCAGAATTTATGTCCATTATTTTTCAGCCAACGATGAACTTCTGCGATTCTTCGGGGATTGTAAAAGTGGTCACTACCGTGCCGCAAAGGTGTCCATCATACAAGGTACGAAGTATTTCTGTGCTGGTTAAGTGCGTCTTTTACGCTTATCTCTATGGCTTCAAACTGTAGTCGGAGCATATTTTGACTTTCAAATGAGCAAATTTGTGGAGAGATCATTTATTTGTTTTTTACAATTTCTCTACATGGTAGTCATTGGGAAAGAGATTCTTTTGACTCTGTAGCAACGTTTCAAGTCTGAAACGTCTTCGAATTTTCTGAGGGAATTAACGTTAAGGTGCAGCTGTTCTGATTGAATTGAAGGCTGCTAAATTGGCAAATTTGTCTTTATAATAACTTTAAGTTCTTTTAATTTGTGAACGAGGGCTTCTCTAGAAGTGAGGCTGGAAAACCCCGATATCAGATTCCATTCGGAAATTGGCGACATGTCCAGAGATGAAGTTCCTTGGTTTATGTCAAACCAGACCAGCACTAATATTGTTTCCTATTTCAACATGTCGAATGATTTGATTGAATTTCAGAGGAGCTGAGGCTTGTGGATACTTTTCATCACCGTGGGAATTGGGAATCAGATTTTGACTCTATTGTGCCGAAATTAGTCGTCGACAAACAGCCTTGTTTTGTGTTGTTCAGGTAAATGCGTGTTTTCATCTCGCCCCGTCCATGATTAGGCATGAATTGAACAAAATGTTTTCATTTTTTCCTGCTGAAGGCTTGATGTCAGGAGTGCTTCTGGATACGAATGGCTTTTAATCAGCTGGTCTCCGGATGATTCACCGGTAAGGGAAAAAATGCTTTACGCTTCAACCAAGGCGACTTTCAAGAAACTCTTCGGGTCCATCACGGAAGAGTTCTTCGCGACGAGACGCGTGAGTTCTGTTTCTATGATCTATGAAACGGTATTTCTTCATGAACCCTGTTGAGGCTTCGAAGCCGAGAATGCGGATCAACTTGGAATTTTAAACTTCGAAATTTGTTTTTGGGAAATAGTTTTCGTTAAGAATGCTCAGGGTCCACGATTTAGACCTTGGTTGCAATGTGAAGCTACTTGTGACTCCGGTTTTTAGTTAGGCTTCAAGTTACGTCCAGTTACGTTTTCTTGAGTGCGAAGAGGGTTGGGTTGATTTTAATTCAGTTTTTTTTTAATGTTAATTTCAAGTTTTCATTTTTGCAATGTAAAAATAAAATGTACGGTATTTATTTGTGGAAGTGACCACTTCAGAACGAAATTTTGGTTTCCTGGAAGACGAAACATTTTCTGGATCTCAGATTCTATACAACGCCTTGAGATTTCATCGCAATTATGAAATATTTCATGCATCGCTGCGAAACAAATTTTGAGCATGTGACGCAGCTGTTGGTCAATTTTTATAGAAAATGCTGCATAAATGAATCTACAGGATGAAGCCACGGCTGCCGGTTACGTTCGTCACAAGCGAGACTACAAGGGACCTGGCCCTCTTACAACTGCGGAGGAAGAGCTGAGAGAGTTGAACAAGCTCACTATTGAGAGCACTTCTCCTCAAGGTAGCATTTCCGGGATCGCGTTTCCGATGTCCAAGGAGGCGAAAGATCGTTTGCAGAGCTTTGGTCGTGGAGAAATTGACTATGTGCAACTGAGTCTCGGTGATTACATCTTTTCAAGTTATATGTTTTCGACGTTTTCGTAAACGAGTGTGAACAGATTTGTTTTCCGATTTTTTCCCCCGAAAAATGTTGAAGCGTCTTGAATATTGCGTGCGATATCATGGTTCGTTCGATGGTCCAAAAATGTGTTTACACGTGATTGAATTCATCAAATGAGCATATAAATAACTCATCGAAACAGGTTCCTTGTCTTGAGAATTAGTTTGAACTTTGAAGCATCATCTGGATTGAATACGCAACGTTTTATGGTGGGCAAAATTCTTGTAAATATGTTTGCAAAATGTATCGCTTTTAAAGAGGATTTTCGAAATTGGATGATTTCATGACAAAATTGTGTTTTTTTTTTGTTGAATTTAGCGTTGGATCAGTTTTGATGTGAATTTAAAAAAATTAAAATTCAGTTTGTCGGAAGCAAAAACTGTGAGTTATTCAGAATAGTCAGCACTTTCTAGTATTATGTCAAGTTCTCTGATGTATTTTGAAGTTATTAGCAGTGTCTTACGTTTTCCTGTTGATTTTTTTCGGGGCAGGGGGGTGACAAGTTGAGATGCGTCTCTGAATCTATGGCTTCCTATACTTGAGTGAAAATATTGGTAAATCGGGAAAAAAAATTGGACATGATCGCGAATTTCCTCATTCCTCGTGTAGATATTCTGAACGAGCGCATCAACCTTGAGCGTGCCGATGCCTGTGATGTGCGAGATTTTAATGCGATACTACCTGGAGCGAAGGGTCGTTATCACCTCTTCCGATATAAGCATGCTTATGACGGAGATTACCTGGATAGTGTCGGTGAGGATGGAATACTTGATGTGAAAATAAGCGCGGAACCGATGGAACCATGTTTTTATACGTTTTTTCTTTTTTAGTTTTTGTCTACGTCATTCCCGGAGCTGGATGTTCGATCAAAGAGCGAATGCTTTCTTCGAGTTGCAAAGGCCCTGTGACAGACACCATTGAAAACGCGTTCAGAATACCGATTGCTAAAAAGGTTTGGGATTGTTTTTTCTCAATTTTATCTCGAGGTTATTGAACAAGAGAAATTGTGTGTCTTGAGCTTTTAATTCTAGTCTCATGAAATCAGTATCTTGGTTGTGGCTGTCATGCAACATCGAATTCCTCCGAGGGTAACTCGCATGAATTTTGGTTTGCTTGATGATTCAATTTGTGAGAGATGTCACCATTTTTCTATGTTTTTGAACTGGTCAAGTTTGAGGCGTAAACTTCTCCTAATTTTCGCAGGATCTTCTTTGGTTACAGTTGTAATTCGGGTAAATTCTTGCCCACCAATTTCAGTTTTTTGGACGGTATCCACATCCAGAATTACTGTTCTACGAACTCTAGAATCAGAACGGAACTTGGTTGTTTCAAAGAATATTTTTCATTACTTCTAGGACTCGTCGACCGCCAATGAAATTCATGATTAGTGACGGGGTTCACGTACAGCTTTTCAGTTTTCTTTGAGTTTCCAACCCGTGCCAAAATTGGTAACTGTAATGAAGAAATTTAAAACTTTTTGAGCTTCGGAAAAATTATTTTCTAATTTCCAACGAGAGAAGGGTCAAATGAACCAACATTTTTTGCCATCTCACGTGAAGAAAATGTAAAATACTGTATTCCAACTGCAGAAAAATAATAAATAGTGGATTGAAATCTATTGAAGCATTTTCATTTCTCTCGTGTTCAGATCGAAATCGACGTCGGAGTCCAAGTGGACGATGCCTTCCTCTTGGATGAGCTTCATCCGAAAAGCAGTCTTCATCGACCGAAATTCTCAAAGCCCAAGGGTCCTTCAAATCGCGGGCCTCGTCGTTTGCTGAAAGACGGTATTCAGTCATGATTGCTGCGGGTGTTGGAATCTTGCTGGCTATCTTCCGGATGAAAGCCCCGTCAACGTTTCGGGCGTTCTGCTATTCATTGGAAGTCCATTATTTTTATCACCTGTGCATGCTCGGGGCCACCGCTTTTTTTTCCAGCTGCAAATTTATTTTTATTGCTCTGTTTCTACCTTCCTGGGTCTCCATGGAATATAGCCCATGTGCAAAAGCATTCCAAAATTTGAATTATTGAGTTTTGATTGGGAAAGTCTTAGCATGCTCGGGGCCACCGCTTTTTTTTTTTTTTTTGCGTCATTAGCGATTTTTTGTTTGTTTGTATCCTTGTGTGGAATTGTAACACCACACCCTAGGCCGAAATGAACTCCGCGCATGAGTAATCTGTGTACTGTACTCTTGTTTTCTCACTCGATGAAGAAGTATTTTCTTTTTTTTTTCATGTGGAAAACAATATTTGCTTTGGGGTTAAGTGCATTTGAATACGAAAAAAAAAACTGATACTTAGGACTGCCATTTGCAATATGTTTTGCTGCATCCTTTGTTCGCCTTGATTTGCTGTGATGTTCACAAAGGCTAACCCTCGAATCCAAAGCATTGATTTTCAAGTCCAACGAGACGTTGAACCTTTATGCAAGAAACGCAGAAGGAAAGTTTAGTCTTTGATCTAGTTTTACGACTCGCGAGGGTCAGCTGGCGACTTGTTTTTGTTTGTTTTGTTTTTTTCTTTATGAGTTTGTCAACCTTGATTGCACTATTTGTGAAACGGCAATAACCGCCATGAATGGTTGGGTGAATAAATTCATAATTTCTTCCAAACGACGCGTTTCAATCTCGAAGATGGTAGAAAATGTTCCGCCATGTTGCCCAACTTTTTGATGGGCGTCATTTTTTTTTCATGGATGTCAAAGAACATACATCAAATCTCATGAAGTCCGGATTCTTTTTTGTTTCCGTAATGCCTATAAGATCCTGAAATTGAAAATGTCATGATTACGACTTGACATATTCCCAGAATATTGCCCTGTATTTACTTCAATCGTATGTGCATTTTTCTTCTGAATTGACGTGAATTAAGATGGATGCATGCAAATGTTGTAGGAATGCCTCGGACTTTTTTTTAATTTTGGGCGTGCCTCATTCTTGAGTCACATGATGTGGGAAATGTTAAACCCATTCGAATCAGCATTTGAAAAACTGAAATTTATTTTTTAAATGGAAAAGCAGTTTAATCATTCAATTAAAAATGCAATTCTTTCAAATTTTTCTAATATGGCAATTTTTGAGTCACAGAAAGGGGGTGTGTGCATCTCACTTTGGAAAGATTTTATACAGATTTTAAGATGAAAATTACAGGATTACTCACATCTTACTTATTGAGGCCTAGGGAGTGAGAGAGACAGTGATAATTTTCGTGAGGGTTGTCCTGGTGATATATTGGTAGTCTGCGAAGAAAGATTTTAAGCCAATTCCTGCTGAAGACCATCTTATATCAAAATGAAGTTTGAGCAAATACGTGCTTTTGCTTCAAAAATCAACCTGCATATGAAAACCTCCTATTCTATATGGAAAATCATCAAGCTATATGGGATCATTCACATAATGCATGAACAGTATATACGTACCTCAATTACAACAAGAGTGACAAAATATTTTAATGACACAAGAAAAACCACAGCTTCAAGGAAAGTTTCAAAATTTCACCATTCAAAAACACAACTTGAAACGCGAATCATCATTTTCAATTCAATCTTGGACCACAGTTGCAAGAGAATCGCACCTCAGCACCAGGAATCCTGCAGTGAAACCAAATATTCTTGCAACAAGGATGGCACCCTCCCATCAGGTCACCATTGACCCTTTGATAGGTCATGACATTCGAATCAGCATTCGCATCTTGCTTATCTGTAGCAACTTGGTTCAAAATGTCCACCAGCACTGGCACACAGTCAACCTCCAGATGTAACACTCCACATACAATCAGCAATGCAATCGCACTTCCTTGTGCATGGAATCCACATTTTGCTTGATTTTTGTTTTTGCGCTTCTGATGGTCACAACAAAAGAAGTTTGCCTAAATAATAAGAAAGATTAAACAACACAAACAAAGAACAGGTAGATACGTTAGTCACTTTACACGTACACAGAATGTATTACCGTTATAACATAACTCTGACAAATGGTACTCACGAGATTTTTTCACAAATGACATATACGACTCCATACGACAGTTGTACATAATTGGGACCTCACCAATATAAGTCAAACCTTTCTGCATGCAAATTGACAAAATAATCCACCCCCCCCCCCTCCCCCAACTATATTTCAAAATTTTCTTATAGTCTATTCTGCTCCCTATTGTAGACCTCAATATATAACTTAAAGACTTTCCCAATCAAAACTCAATAATTCAAATTTTGGAATGCTTTTGCACATGGGCTATATTCCATGGAGACCCAGGAAGGTAGAAACAGACCAATAAAAATAAATTTGCTGCCGAAAAAAAAAGTGAATAGCGCAATATAATTTACTCTTGATTCAAAGTTCAGCATCCTGAAATCAACTCATTTATTTGGCAACTTAAGGCCCAAAATATCATCAATATCATGTAATTCTTCATTTTTTCCAGCAAACATTCTGGTTCTCCCACAAATAAAAAAAAATAAAAATTTGCATGAGCCTCCCCTAGATTTGACTTGAACATATTTCACTGCTGTACAGTATATCAACTATAGAATACAGTGTTTATATATATAGGTACCATCAATCCATCATAATACCGCTTGAAAAAAAAAACATGGGTCACCTCATGATATTCCATATAGGGTAAAAAGCTCTTCAGCTCAAATTAAGAATGTACAGGCATTGTTAATTTTTACTACAGTGCGTCGTCCCTTATTATCTGTATAAAACAAAGCCAATTCAACATTCCAGGATAACGTCTTGTCATATCACGCAAATTAATATAAACAAGAAGCAAATAACGAACACATTTTCACTGATGGCTGGAATTCGCAGGATAAAAAAAAAAGAACCAGGATAACCGAGTTATTTGAGAATAAATAAAGCCTACACTGGAACACTCTCGTCTCCATCATTCTGATGAAGCCGACTCCTTATATATATACATAGTCTATATGGAAGTCGAAGACAAGGTCAAGGCGCAATATTTCGACTATACAGCCCAGAATTTCTTGCATTCGAAACGTCACTGTTGTCATCATCATGGAAAAAGGAAAACTCGCTTTTTCTTCTGCGCCTGATTTCGCCCCACGTGGCCAGCATGAATCTAGGAACAATAATAAAGGAACTGCGCGATTCTCATCTTTTGAACTCTGCTGAGGGCTATAAAATTGGATCAAAACTATTCTTCAGGCCTCCTCGTGCATTCACAGAAGACTCCACAGAAACAAAAGAAGAAAAATACTTGATACACAGATGAATTCTCTCTGTAATACAATTTTGAAAATCCCTATAACATGGGAAGAAAACCTATAGCATATGAGACTAAAAAAAATAACTTGTTACACATAGAAAATTCTTGTGAACAAGATTTTTGTTTAGAGGAAGAGTTCACCACATTCTTTGGGTATATTTTTAATGCTGTTTTTCCTGGTTCCAAAATGACTCTTTTGCCACAAGATTTTTACCCAACAAATATTGTTAAAACAAATTAAATGTTCACAACCAATTTTTTAGGATGTGCCAAATATATAGCCACAATTAATTTGAATTTCTGTTCAATGCATTTTTGTCATTGCAAAGCTTTGCTGCTGATAGTTTCAATGTCTTCGTTATAACAATATTTTACCACATAAGTATTAAGAAGAATAATTTTTTGAGGAGTTAACAAATCATGCAAAGAACTTTTCATACAAACTTCAATATTTCACATGCTGTGAATTGTTAACAATAAAAGATTAATTTTTCTCCTAACATTTGACAACACAAGTAACCATGGTTTGAGAAGTGAGAAAATATTTTCTGGGGTATATATACTGAATCAGCATCCAAATTTCTACAAGAATTGATTTTTTCCTTATACTGCAAATACATGTCAGGTCATTGCTGCTGGGTGGCTGGAATAATGTTGTCAGGCCCAACCTCTTCAGACTGGAATAATCGTGTGGTGAATTAAACTCATTGCAGAATATTGTCATCAGGAATAACCTTGCCTTTGAGTATTACCCAAGATGTTGAGACTTGAGGCTTTTTTTTTTTTGCTGCACCAGGTTGGTCTCTTTGTGAAGTTATTTAGAAAGATTTGGTTCTAGAAAGACGTACTGGTTTGTTCCAGGAGAGGCTTGACAACAATAATTTTATATTGGAATGATCTACCATATCCCAAGTCATTATTTCATGATGAGAGTCGGTCAAATCATCCGAATCCGCAGATAAATATCCGTTCGTCGCAATAATGATCGGAATTTCACAATCAGACAGAAACGTGATCTCTTTCTTTTGAATTCCGTTAGTATCGCACACGAAAATCTGCAGTCAAGCATGTCTCGCATAAGCTGAAGCAATCAGCCGGTGGGAAAATTTTCAGCCAGCAAAATAAAACGTTAACAAGGGTTTTGTCCCAGTTCCGCAAGTGCAGCAATAGTTTTTCCATCAGGGCAGTATGAAAATGTTTTTTGCAAACGCATAATGCAGGAGGACTCTTTTTATTGCAACAATATCTTGTCTACAATGATTTTCTAAGTAAAAAGTTTTTATTTTTTGGTAGGGGTTCTCTACAACGAAGTTCTATCTACAACAAATTTTTTTTTGGTAACTGGAATTTAATGGTATGGTGAGTCCACCTGCATACTGATGTGACATGGTGGTTATGTTCACCATCAGTAGCCTAAAATATGTTTTCTAAGCATAATGTGATTATTTGTACATATCAATATTCTAGTAACCCTGGTCTCAAAATCACTGAATAAAATACAGTGAAACTTCAACATATGGATATTTTGACTTGGGGACACAACACAAAACAAAAATCTGGCTCAACATCCAGTCATTGGCTTGAGTTAGGGACATTTTTCTGGCATTTCTCATAAAAATTAAAATTTTTGTAGTTTTTTTACTTGTTGATATATCAGTCAAATCAAGCTATTTTTCCACCAAAATTGGAAAATATTTCAATATAAATTTACTATAATTCACAATCAAAAACAATCTAATTTTGTGCCCCTTTTTCAGAGTTTCTTTTTTTTTGCTATCCTCTGTACATTATAGCAAGACACATTCTTGTTCTTTGCTTGCTGGGCTCATTTTTATGCCAAAATATCAGATTCCATGTGGTTTTCTTCTGCACTGTTGTTTTCTAT